CACACACACACACACACACACACACACACACACACACACACACACACGTTCTGGAGGGATGTCCCTAATATGAGTCAACTAGAAACAACAGGCTCGGGGACATCGCATGTTTTTGCTGCAATTATCGAGCACCACAGCTGTTCATACCGTACAGTCATTTGAATACGACAGGGAACCTCCAGGGAAAGTTCAAATGTTACAATTCACACTGAAATTATGAATTTGTTTATAGCGTGTGTGTGTGTGTGACCAAAAGCAAACCAAACCTGTCCTGGAGCTTGAAGACTCACACTAAAATAAAAAGGAGTTGCCGTGTGTTGACGTACACATCTGCTTTATGTCTTGGCCAACAGGAGGTCAATTGTTTACAATGAGTGACCAAGTCACTGTTGGCATTTACGTGTTTCTCAGACTGTGTTCTCCGTTGTTGTGGAGGAAGGGTTACACTTCCTGAACTGCACTCATTTTTTTCCCAGTAATAGGTCTTCTTGTGATTTCCCAGTTTGCACATCTCATGGGATTTACTCCCCAATCCGTCCCAAGGAGACAACTAGAAGAGAGCCACGAGGCATATGTTAAAAATAATCTGAAAAACAGACTCTGCATCTACCGGCCCACGCTTGTTCTCCGGGAGTCTTTTTTGTGTCTGAGATTTCTTGGTCGTCTTTCCTGCTTGCCTCGGTCCAATCGAGCTGTTGGAACAAAGCAGTGTTTCCTCCGATACTGATCCGGAGCAGAGTGTGTGTTCAGCACGCCTCTCTGGCCCATTACACATTAGTAGGAAAAGGGACCCAAATAGCACACCGACTGATTCACTGTGTTATATTCACATTCACAGACTCGGACACATTAAGCAGTTGTGGAGTCACAGCCCCCCCTCCCCTTCCTCAAAACACACATGCACGTGTGCACACATGCAGATGCACAGATAATTGACTGGCCTTTTCAAACAGCTTCCTCTGACCCCCCCACCCCTGTAATCATGGAAAGAAAGGGCAGGAGAGAGGAAGAGTGCGAGCAGGAGGAGATGAGGATGGCTATTGAGTCACTGAATCAGCTGTCTTGGTCATGGCCAGCAGCCTGATTATCCCTGCAGGGGGTAGAAAGACACACTGGTGTCTTGCTCACTCTATGCTTTTCAATTTTGACACCTTTCTTTTAGGTTGTGTTAGACTTTATCGTTTCTTTTAAGACATTATTTAAGGCGGGGGGGGGGGTGTACACCTGCTTCAAGCAAGTATACGTTATGTTCATTAAGTTGGGGGACTCACAAAGAGATTATCAAAATCTACACAGCAGCAGCAGAGACATCCTGCATTTTAGCCTCAAGTAAACAAGCCCAAATGCAACTCAAAATTTGTAATGCATACTTTCTGGTATCAAGTTGAAGCCTAAATCAAGAGACAGAGCTCATGAGAGTTATTTTGTCCCCCAGACTTAATAAAACTTCATCCCGAATGACAGAGGGCCATTATACAGCTGTTTTAACAGGCTGAGTGAGCAGAATTGGCAGAGTGCCCCTTTTCCTGCTTACTTTGAGACACTCACTGTTGCTCTTTCCAGCGATTGCTCCTTTTTTGAGGCAGTTGTTTGCAGTTCTATTTATCCCTGTCTGCGTGGGTCTAATTGTGTCCGATGGCCAGCGTTAACGTACTTTTCCTGTGTCTGGCATTTGTCAATGTGATATGACAGGATTTTTATTTACCCTGTAACATCATTAACAGAGTTTGACAGTATATGCATCAGGTCCCTTCTGTGCAAGAAGTCCTCTTTCTTGCCTATTATGGAAACGGGGACTCTCAGACATCTATTACGGCTGACATCCTGCTAAATGTTATTCAGTTTAACATGACTCACTTGCATAAATGCCTTTTTAACTGTATTTGATAACTGCTTAACAACAATACAAGTCGCAGCTTCAAACACAGCTTGAATTCAATCAACACCTCTGACATTCTCAACAAAATCCTTTTTGTTTTTTACCTGAGCAGACGTGTCATAGCGTGGCGGCAGACATAGTGCAGAGGCGTGTTGTGCTGGTACTGCTCTCCGTACGATGCGTTCGGGTCCAGGCCGTCCCTGAACTGAGGGTTGCCCTCGTACAGCTGCCAGGCCAGGGCCTCGTCACCACCCACCAGGGCCTTGCGGAACTTGGTGGCTGTGTTGCCCATGGCTTCAAGCTTGCAAAGGGCCGCCTAAAGGGAGCTGTGGCAGATGCCCGTCTGCCTGCGCCTCCCTCCTCCTCCTCCTCCTCCTCCTCCTCTTCCTCCTCCCCCGTTCACCACAGGTCACAACTTAGAGCAACATGGTTCAGCGTTTTCCTGCCCTGAAAGTAAAAGAAAGAGAAGGAGAGAGAGAGAGAGAGAGAGGGGGGAAGATTGATTAGCAGAAAAGGATGGTTGAAGACGGACACGAGGCGAGGAAAGAATTGGAAAAAGGCTGGTGAAGCTAAGATGAAAAAACAACAATTCAGAAGCCATAAAGTGAAGACGTATCAATCAATCAGTCCGTCTATCGATCAGCTGATGTGCTGTGGCGAGGATGTTATCTCACCGGAAATAGAGGGGCAAAGGGAGAGGCAGAAGAAAGAAGCCAGAAAGACAGAGAGATAATTACAAAGAGGGCGGGCGAGACGGGAAGGTTAATGATATCCAAGCCATCGATTTGTTAGTCAGTTGATGAAAGGCATGGTCAATATTACCACAGCGAGCCCAGTTAGCTTTCCTTTGTGAAGAACTTGCACACATTAGGCTGTTTACATGCTTGTCTGCTACTGGAGATATGAGAGTCTGAGTGTGTGTGTTAAACCGTGCAGCACTAATATCCTGGACAAAAAAAAATAAACAGTTTTACTTTGCCTCTCAGGCGCTCAACCAAAGAATCCCAAGAATCGCAGCTATGGCTGCTACAGCCGAGTTTACTCTCCCAGCAACAGCTGATTAACCTCCTGTAGGTTCTCAAATCTGCGTGTTCTGATTCATTTCCTTCCTCATCTTCCCCACCTCTCCCTCAGACACAAACAATTTGTCCCGTCTTCAACACACAAACGCACACAACATTACGTCCTGTAACGAGCGGAGTATGTATGTGAGTGCATGTGTGTATTGGGCCGCTGAGGGTATCATTACAGTCTTCATTCTACGGCCATCTGTCTGGCCCTCACAAAGAGCCTCTTTTAGCCCCGGCTACAGTTGGCCACTGGCTGGTCCGAGCTCTGGAACATTTGAATAGCGTGGCTGGCTGCCTCCCCTCCTCTCGCCTCCCATTTCTATGCAGTGACAAGACACGGAAAACACGCACTGACAGACGGAGGCATATGGGCCGTGCAGAAGCTGCAACCACTGGCGAATAATAGCTGACTTCTTTCACGTTCTGCTCCAATGATGCATGCAGCAGACCGGACCTTGTGTGTTTATATCTGAAGGGGTGGTGGTGGTGGTGGTAAGGGGGAGCAGAGGGGGGCTACTATAGTTATTAGGTCAGTGTGTCTGCTTGGCTCTCTGTTTTGTGCACACTGGTTTACTTCCAGTTCACTTCACTCCTCTGTGTAACTCCGCCGGTCTCCCTCTGTCTCATACTAAATAAGGACAGGAAGTTTGGACATGGAGGAACTTTGGAATTCCAGGGAACGTACAGTTTGTACGGTTCAATTATCTACCATTACCAAAGCTCTTTGAGGCTACACACCAATCTGTGGTGGCTGAGGAAGTGTTCACTCCTTGTTGACTGGACACTCGTCTTATTAGCCTTAAATCCAGCCAGGAAAACAGGTTGTTTTTTTTCATCAATTATGTTTGTTGTAAGTTACACTCATGCCACAGGTCTACACAGAACAGGCCTCTAGAACATATGGTATTCCCCATTTTCGGTAATGTGATGATCAAGACTTAATGACTCATGAACTCAAGAATCCCAAACACATAAGTGTTGTCTGGAAATCTTTGTCTGATGATTCCTGCTGACAAAAATTCAAGTCATGGCAGTCTTTGTTTCAGCCAGCAATCACAAATTATGATATTGTATATTCTAACTATTATTGATTAATCAGGTAAATAGATAAGCGCTATAGATATCCATTATTTTCATTGTATATCTATCAAGGTATCAGCTCTATAACAGTACAGCTATGATCATCTACAGCTGTGACTAACTAGCCTTAACTGAAGTACATGCAGCATGTCAGCCCTACCTGCCAGCACCTGTATCGTCACATCCACAGTCACTACTGTTACTATATTGTTAATATAAACAAATACAACCCACTGTTGTGCCTTTACAGTTATCAAAACATGCTGTCACGTGATACACATCAAGTCAGACACCTTGAGTCAGAGTGAGGGTGGATCCTGACAGGCTTCTGTATAAACCTGACTAAACCACGTTGTCAACAGAGACATCAAACTTCTCCATCTTAACAGCTGCACGGTGACATACAGTAACAGCAAGTTCCTTCAATAGCATTTACCAAAATGAGCTAGGTCACCGTCAATCAGCGACACATTCAGGTCAGACCTCGTGTGGTTATCGCTGAAGAAGTGTGTCAGCATGAAATGGAGCACAAAACAAACAGCAGCCGACTTCTCTGTGCATGTTTCTGTCCATGCGGCCCCTCGGTTACAGCTCCTTTGTTCAGCACACTGACAGTGGATCACTAACACAAACAGGGACGCGAGTGTTAGGTGTAGGTTGTCCGAAAAGCTGCAGGAAAAAAAAGACGCTTTTACCCCGGGTGTTAACGTTTCCCACCACTGAGGTGGGGTAAACGTTAACACCCAAAAGCAGCCTACCTGTCCTGCCCGTTACCGAAGCTAGCAAACCAGCCTCCTCTCTCAGGTTAGCGCGTTGTTGTGTTAGCCTCAACTACCTCGAGCAGGACAACGTCAAAATCTGCGCCGTTTTACTTACACGGTCGTCTCACTTGGTCACTAGTCGTACATTCGGGCACTTGCGTAAATCGAGGGACATTATCGTGTCACTGTCATTCGCATCGCCGGGCTGCTTTTCTTCCACTGGACCATCCTCCTCTCTGCCACCCGGACCCGGCGGGGACGACGACGACGATGATGCTGCTGAGAGCGGAGGGGCGAGACTGACTGGATCGCTTCAGTGTATGTTGTTGTGGCTGCCAAAAGAGAAACGCGTACTGCGCATGCTCGGGAACCGTCACGCGGAAAGGCTCTCACCTGATTGGTCGGTTGTTTGGGGTCCGTTTTGGTGAAACGCTATCATATTGTAACCTTTTTTTGAAAAGTTGTATTTTAGCTGCTATAACAGGTGAGTTGTGTATATAGACATAAACTAAATCATTTTATAATAATTAATAATATGTATATTATTATAATAATTATATGATAATATTATTATATTATATAGAATATAGTTAAAAAACAGAATATAGGCTACATGATACTGTCAAACATTGTGGTATATGTTTATGTATGTAAACAACCATAAAACTACACATGTTGAAACAAAAACTTAAGACTTTATTAAAAGTGACAAAAATGCAAAACCTTTAACATATTTACTGGAACAATGGTATTATTGGTGCTGATACTAAAAAAGGAAACTTTTATTATTGGTGTTGATGGTACAAAAGAAATCATAACACAACATCAACATAACAACAAAATTAGACAACTTCAAAATAGGAAAATGGGATCATACAAATGGCAAAGGTACATCTGCACACAACCTGCCAGTCAGTCACTATCTGTCTCTATCTACATCTGTCTCACACACACACACACACACACACACACACACACACACACACATCTAATCATCATCCTGAGGGCAGTTGCTCTGACCGCAGATGCCCTGACTGCAGGCCTGACACAAGGCCTTCTCATGTGGTTTTCTATTATCCGAGCGGTTTCCTGAACCGACACCATGATCGTCGTCGTCCTCTCCGTAGCAATTCTTCCGGATTTTGGCACACAATCTGAGTAAGGCATTTTCCACCTCTTCCTTGGAAAAACCAGGTTGTTCAAAACTTTTGTCGTTGCAACTGCGACAGGCCTGTCCAAAGGGCCTCATGATCACTGACCCCCTGTCACCTCGCAGCCGGTAACGGAACAACAACGTCACCTTTGCTGAAGACCAGCTCTTGCTGCAAGATGCACACAGGAAACTGTGGGAAATGAGACGACAATATAGAGTCAGAGCGTCTCAGGGTTTGTAAGATTCTACCTGAAGTATTCTCAAGTCTGCAGCGTTTCCTCTAAGTTATCAGAATCAGATTTATGGGCAAGTAGGTTTTTTTTACATACAAGGAATTTTTCTTTAATGTATTTGTAAATAACAGAAACTTAGTACGAGAAATAGCGTGGTTTTGTGCAGAAATGTGTAAAATTGTCAAAAATGAATGTTTTAGAATTGTTGAACTAACATTTAACTTAAGAAGGATGAATCTTCTCATAACTTTGTTGGTTAAATCATATTCTGTGTTCTTTTCAGGCATCATAATCAATACTACTCAGACTACAAATGGAAACAAAAACTAAAATCTTGTCCCGATGCCTACGGAGATCAGAAAAAGCACAAGACAGCCTGCTGAACATTCAGCCAACTTAGAAAAACAGAAACTCTGTTGACAGTTTTCTTATCCTCCTTAACCTGAATATCAATTACTGTAGTTTAAAGTTATATATCTTGATACTTTGAGAATATGTAACAACAATACATACTGTCCATAGCCAGAGGAGTGGCAGTAGACCTTCCAGCCTCTCTTTCTCTCCTCCGCGGTGACTTGGTCTGTCTGGTTGTAGTTAAAGTTGAGAGTCCACTGGTCTCCGTAGTCCAGCTCATTGTCGTCGTCCAGCAATTCATCAAAGGTCTCCCTCCACAAGGAAGGAACCCATTCTGCACGAGTGGAAAGTCAATTAAATATAGAAAGCATTGTTTTTGAATAAAAAACGAACATGTGAAAAAAAACGAAATGCATTCAACCCAGACGATTATAAACACCCTAAATACTATCAGTGGCGTCAAATTGATCAAAACACATATTGCAAAGCACCAAATCACGCAGCATATTATCGTATTTACACTCAAAAGGCATGATGTGTTACCTGTAGATCTGCTCATGTTGTTCGGTGATCAGAGACTCTTCTGGTGAGATGAAGCGATGTTTGTCTTGTGAATGCTGCTACGCAGACAGTCTCGGTATTTAAACACCGACTGCAGCTCTACTCTGGAAAACGAAACTTACCAACCTAGTTTCATTTTCCATGTAGTTGGCCTCAGGTGACGATGCAGAAACAACACATCACCAGATAGCTTATTGCCTTACGTAAAAGGGGATTTTATGGAAGTACAATCACCAGTTTATTACTTTATTCTGTAGTTAATGATGGTTGGACAGGCATTGCAACATGTACGAAACCCCATTACCCCATTTCATTCGTCCTTTTGCATGCAATACATTTTAAATCAAATTAAAGTTTTTTTTAATTGTGGTTCTCTTGGAGCTTATTTAATATTTTGTAGCAATTATGTTTTCCTGTTTGGGGTCTTAGAACACATTTAAACAATTTATCTACGAAACAACAATTTCTAATTTTCCTCATCATGTTTTCAGTTTCCCTCAGGCTTATATGAGAAGGAGATCGGCCTGTCCGTCCATGACTTGTTTTAATTGCTGCAGTTTCTGTTTAATTTACAGTAACATCGTTAAGTGTCAGCTAACACTCTCAAATTCAGTTCAGGTCAGGTCAGTAGGGGGCGGTATAAGACAGCTGGTTGATCCACATGCGCCACAAACTGGGGTGGCATCTTTGGTGCACAGTGGAAACAAGTATTTTAAGGAGTCAAGGGATTCCCCACAAGCCACTTCCTATGTCCCGGAAGTAGGCCAACAGGATCAGCTTTACTTTCAATTTACAATAAGTAAATATACTTTCAATGTCTGAGTACTGGAAACCACTCGGGTCATCCTGATGACCGGGTGAAATATGATCTTTAATTTATCCCCAGAGCCCAGAGGACCAATTTAGCCATATCAGGTTTAAAAACATCAGTATGAATGTTAAAGTAGTGTCATTAATATATGTATTTAACTAATAGGAAACTCACTTCACACCTAAACATTACATTTAAGTTGTATTCTGCTCTTCGTGGTAACCAGGAAGCATTTGTCTGATACAGGTGCCCCCATCCAGCTGAGTCTTAACTGCTTTGTCAGCTTGTTCTGTTTGGTGACTGATATCCATCGTTGTATTGCTGCATGTTTACGCCCTCAGTCCTGTCTGTCTGTTGATCTTTCTGAAATTTGAAGCCCAAGTTATTGGTGCAAACACTTATCTAAGTCACCTTTGAAAGACGGTAAAACTGCTTTTGATCTGTTGCTGTAACTCAGACTACTCCTTTATGTCCCCGAGCACAGCCGTCCTGTGAGGTTTACAGTAGAGTTTAAGGACCCGTAATGTGTCGGAGCTTGTCCTGAATTCTTTTATTTTTTATTCAAATATCTTTCTGAGCACAATGTTTGTTCTTGTGCTCATGAAATATTCGTTGCTGTTTCAAGTTGATTATTATTATTTAGTGGTAAAGGCAGTAACAATAATCTTGGAGCGGCCATTGCAGTAACAGCATGATGGTGTCAAGCTGGTTTGATAAAGCAGACACTACTCCGTGTCTCGTGTCTCCGTATCCTGTCTGTTAAGTTAAGTGGTGTTTCCTGAATAATTATTATCATTTCAGTACAGTGGAAATACTAGCATCAGATTGACAACACCTGTCACAGGTATGTGGTGACGCTGTCAGTCCACACACAAACACATACACACACTTAATAAAATGAAAACCTTGTGCACACTATGGGACGTTCCTTCTACCTGAGTTGTTTCAGGTTCATGATGATGCCCCACCCAGTACTAAAAATGTATTATAACGCTTGTCAGAGTCTCTTGACAAGGTCTCAAGTTCTGGTCAAAGCAGGAACACACGAACACACGAACACACACACACACACACACACACAGGTTTGACAGGTTCAAAATACAAATTTAATTTAGATATACTTTTCAGTGATTATTTGGGTGTTATCTGTCGAAACAACAAAATGGGAATTAGATAATCAGGTTTCTTAGTTACACACACACAGAAACACGCACGCACACACACACACATGCATACACACACACACACATACACATCAGGATCCTGTTTTACTCTCTTGAGAAGTATTAATTTGCAGGATCTTCAAATGATGCAGACTGAAGAAACTACATGTGAAATATCATTATATGGAGGGTGGTAATGGAAATGTAGTGTCGTCTCATTGGCATGACAGTCCAACTACACACAACACTGCCACCCCCATCACACACATACATACATACATACATACATAGCAACCCATATACTGTAGAGTGCTGAAGTGAATGTGTGCCCCTTTCTCTCGGCACAGTGGTGTAAAGATGACCTCAGAGCCCCAGCCTCCAGAGAGTCACCTTATACTCAGGTGTGACATTACAGCGTGAGAAAAGCATGCTGGGAAAGCTCAGGGCCTCAGAGATGCAGGCTCCAGAGAGACAAGACAAGAGCGGACTCACAGACTGACCTCTTTGTATTAATGTTCTACAGTGAAGTAAAGTCCTGTTGATCCAAGTAAATGGTGATACAGTCTGCTCTGGGACAACAGATTTACATTAGACTGTAGACATGCACCAAATTCAAATAAGATACACAAATCTACAAATAGCTTTAAAAAAACGAATCTGACACAATTGCATAAAGCCAGGTCTGAAAAAGATCTGAGATAATAGTAAGACCAAACCTGCAAACTGTTGGTGTTGAGTGACTCCTGATCCACTGAGCTACTCCGCTTTCCACAGAACTATTGTGCTTTTGTCTCCCATTTCTCATCTCCCTTTAACAACAACAACGTCATCCTCTGAAAAAGGAAGATGAAACCACATCTAACATCTATTATAATACACTACGTTTCCAGTTTATTAGGAGGAGACACTGAAGCTGCTTTGGCTTGTGGTGGTCCAAACCATTAATAATGTACTCACTGTGATTGTGCTCTACATATATAACAACATTGTCAATATTGAACAACAGCCAACACAATAAGTCTTGTTTGAAATCAAATCGTCCCAGATAATGCAGACTCCTCTGCCAGGCAGGTTGAGATGCAGGCCAGGATTTAGCTGCGGCCCGGATTCTGCCTGGACCTGTATACACCTGTTCAATGGCTGCCAGGTGACTCAGAGAGGGAGGAGGATGGGGTGAGAGAGGCCAAGGGAGGAAGAGAGAGAGAGAGAGAGAGAGAGAGAGAGAGAGAGAGAGAGAGAGACCTTGGGTGTGGTTAGAGAGAGAGAGAAAGACCTTGGGTGTGGTTAGATGCCTTGAGCACATTCCATGGAGCGGCCGCACCCTGCGTTTCAGCGTCTGTATACCTGCTCATGATTGTTATCAGAGCTTGTTCATGTGAGCAGACTCTCTCCTGGCACTCATACTTCTTTCATCGGATATAATTCCACAACCGCACAGTATTCTTTTTCCTTGCACACAGTCACAGTCTACTAATGATACTCACTCAGCCGTATGCAAACACTCAACTCTGCATTGCATATCTTTGTCGAGCTGAGAATTGTACATTTGCATAATTTGGAAAAGAGCAAACAGGTAACGTAAGAACCCAGGAATATGGTTCCTACAGTTTGCGTGAATAACAGCTCATGAGGACATTGGTGCTTATAAACAGTAGCCACACCTTTCAGCAAGACTGAACACACAGCAATATTCATAACTATGTGTGTGTGTGTGTGTGTGTGTGTGTGTGTGTGTTGCTATCAGAGGGCCATAAAACAAGGTGCGTTCTGTCTCACACGTTTCAAGAAAAAGGACGGCCACTATAAAGTGCACACAGACACACGTACACACACAGCGGTGTATACTTTAACCGGTACTATGCCTTGTTTTAATGTCATGGTTACTGGTGTATTTCACCGAAAGTGACACGCAGAGAGAATCTCAAAGAGAAGAAGTTAAAAGTAAAGAAAGAGAGAGTGAAAACAGATGAAGGCTTGAGACTGACGCCGTCACTAGTCGTTATTACACAATCAACGAATGTAGGAATTAAGGAACATTAAGGAACATGTTAAATGGTCATTGACCTTTTGGCCAAAGGTGTTAAAACAACCTGCTAAACCCAGTTTCTCCTACAAATGATAAATATTCAAATAGTGCCACTGAATCTGAGTATCGCCTGCACTGTGGCTTTATGGCCTTGAGAAAAACATGCTTCCCAGCTTACAGAAGGAGACACTGAGGAGTGTTGTCTGCAGTAGAGGATCCATAGAAAGGAGAAGTGCAGAAGTCTACTGATTCGGTGTTTTACCACGGAGAGAATCAGTAGGCGACTCATCCACACAGTGTTTCAGTGGAGAGCATGGTCTCCAAGGAAACCAAAGTGAGCCTATGTAACTTTTGCTAAAAAGCAGCATACATCTAACGTTAGCTAACATTAGCCACCAAAGGCTACCGGTCATACCAGACCCAGTGAGGCTTTAGCAGCAAAACCGCTGAGAGTGTTGACTTGAGAAATGGAAGGAATACTGTTATTTCTTCTGTCATAAATTATAGTGCAGCTTTGAAGACACTCACAGTCGTCCAGGGACTCAAGAGAACTTTATTGTCAACCAATCCACATACAAATACAAGGTCGTTTCTCCAGGGCCAACTGTGCTACATTTAATATTTACGCAGCACAAACAATTCATCAGAATCAGAATCAGAACCGTTTATTGCCACGGTATGTTGAACACACAAGGAATTTGACATGACGGGAGGTGCATAACATTTAACAATCAACAACAATCAACACAGTGCAAAGTAGAAACATATTACAATTTACAGAAAGATGTAAAATAGAGTAAAATATAAAATAAACATGTTGATCCAACATAACGTGCCAAAAGACAAGGTAAGGTGCCAAAAATAAAACAAGTGCAGAACTTTGTAAAGAAGACAGAAACAGTGTACAAAGTAAGTGCAAAGGGTGATTTATTTGAACAAAATTGAAACAAAGTCCTACAGAAAAACAACATCTATGTTAAAGGAGTTTTGGGAAAAGGTTTGGATAAACTTCTGTTTCATGAATGCTGGATAAATCCCAAATTGGCAGTCATGACATAAAGGCCAACACTTTTGAAATACGCCAGTGGGAGTGAACTTCTAATGGTCTGTCTGCTTCCAGTGATCAACGGGTTTTGGGAGGAGTCACACCGGTGGGAAAGCCCTGCCCTGGAGGAGTCGCGTCTCCTTCCTGATTCAGCGCGCTGATCGGTGCCCTGTGTGGCGGTAGCTTCGGAGGTTCACACCCCGCCGAGTGAAGCAAGTAGCCCGGGCCTGGAGTCCCTGTGGCCTGTTGTCAGTGGAGGGTGCACACCGGTGGGATTTGGGTGGATTTGCAGCCCGATCCGAGGAATACCGACGAGAGGGAGACGCACATCGGCGGTTTCACGTCGGTACAAAGTGAGGAGACAAGTACTGCAGCAAAGTTTGGAGGTACTGACAGGAGTGGATATAAAGGCGAAGTTTGCAAGTGCAAAATGGGACAAAAGAACTATTTGTACAGAGGGTCTATTATATTCTATTGTGTCCTGTTTTAATATATTTAAAAATGTATCCTATTATTATTCTATACTCTATTCTGTCCTATCCTAATTATATCATGCTCTACTCTATCCTGTTTTATTCTATTCTAGCTGTTTCTTGCTTTATGTAAGGACAGATCCAACTTTATTATCCTCCTGCTGTGATATCTCCTGTGTCCTAGTCTATTTTGTTCTTTTGTATTCATTGCTCCACGTGTGTGGAATAAAAAAGTGAAATGCTGGTTACTTTCCTCACCAGCAGCCTGACGTTTATAGAGGATTAATCATCGTGGTATAGCTGCTGCTGTGTATTGCAAAACCTGAACAGTACTGTTATTATAGTCTAAGCACACAGAAGGCTCCGCATTGGCTGTCACTGACTTGGCTGCTCTTATTCCTGCCCTTTGAAGACATTCAAGAACGAGAATAACTGCTACTTTTTTTGTCAGATCGTGTCGAGCATTGTCTGCACTGTATTGTTTGGGGAAGAGAAGATAAATAATGCTTGAAAAGGCAGCGACACTTTTAGGACCGTGTCTCATGCATTGGTTGCATAACGCTATGTATGGATTACAGGTTGTCGTGAAGCTAATGTGACATCCCTCTAATTTGGAGATATTGATGAGATAATACAAGGTCCTTGTCCTGCAGCCTGTGTCGTCTTCTATAGGCTTTGATCTATAGGCTCTTATATTATATTTATTAAAATTGTTGGTAGCTATACCAAACAAGCAATGTAATGATTCAAACTTCACCTTTACAAGCTTCTCCTCGATTCACTCAGTGACTCACTGGATAGAAATAATCCAACATGTGTTTATAATTTGGAGGAAAAGGTTTTGTAGTGCCAGATCTTTTTTTTTGTGGCAAGTCCCTGCATGTGTGCTTCTTATTATAGAGTTCATCTTGTCACACTAGCAGCATGGCCAAGGCTGCATCCAATTCACAGCTGTGTTTGCATTGTATTTGTTACAAGGGGTCATTGTCTGTGGTTGTGAAACATGTATGAGCAATAGTGTGCTTCCAAGGGCGAGAAAATGCAAAGTAGAAGTATTTCTCCGCAGACATTAATGCAGGTGGAACAGATGACGAGGACGGCAGTGGACCTGTTTTTCTAGCAGTGCTGCTATGTAACACACAGTTAGGAGAAGGGAGGACATGTGCCGCCATTTCTTCCTTACATGTGACATGTGACTTTCCACAGTCCGTTCAACAGGTGTGATGATGTACAGAGAGACGAGTGCTGCTCTGTGTTTGCATTCATCTGTGTTTGTGTGTGTTAACCTGACGAAAGTGTCACTGAAAGGTCCTGACTTGAGCATCAGGAGATTAGTGGCTCATCCCTCCAAACCTGTTTTGCGGTATTCGTTTCTTACAGCATTCACACAGAATTATCGCACAAATTGAATCAACCGAGGAGGTATGCCAGATCAATCCTGGTGTTTGTTTAGTGAGGAGTGGTCAGATGCATGTGTGTGTGTGTGTGTGTGTGTAAGACAAGAGAGCAAATAGAACATATTTTGGGGAGTTTGTGATTGACAGTTTGTGTCTCCTCAGGCTTGTTTCTCTTATTCACATGTTGAGACAGATCAAATGTTTCCCTCTCTCAGCTCTTCACTAAATGTTTCTCTACCTCTTCTCATGGTAGGAATGCTAAGAATGATCCATTTACACGCTTGGTGAGCAAACAATCGGCACATCTGAATATTGGGTTTATCAGCCCTGAAGAGCTGCAGTCGGTTGCCGCCTGCCGCCCCTGAGGTGGTTTAGTGTTTCAAACCGTCTTTGTCAGCGGTGCATTTAGAGCAGCCTCGTCCTTGTGTGGGGAACAGAAAGCTTTAACTAAAGAACAGAGCGAGAGAGAGAAAAGAAAGTGAACAATCCCGATCATCGTGTCACTGTCTGATGCTTACTGCAGTTGCTACAACAACAAACAAAGCAGCCGAAATTTGTTTGAATATCCTACCAGGCAAGGTGGAGAAAGTCTGCCATGCTTCTTACATTGTGATATTCTTCTGTTGCTTCATTCTGCAGTGACCCAGAGGTCACAGGCTCTCTTTAGTGCTACTGTGCTCCGTAGTCACCTACTTAGCTCATATTCACCTCAGGGTTGATTTCCAGCTAATTGTTGTCAGTTGAGAGTGTTGTAATCATCAACAATTTTAATAATCAATCACCTGCTTTCAACTCCTCAATTGTGTTTTATGTGTCGATATCTTTTGGTTTTAGTGGCAATCTTCATTATCTTTTGCCATTTTTGAGTAAACAATTCAAAAATGAATCTTGCAACTGAAAGGCAATACAGTAGTTTTAACTATTTCATCATTTGAAAAGCACTTGCAGTGTTTTTTGTTGCCACGCATGGCAGGCAGCTCTTCTGAGGTTTAAACATTATGACAAGCACAGCCAGGTACACACCTCTAAGTTTTTGGCTGTTATCACACGTCCTCAGGTATGTTCTCTACTGCTGCCTCAGCATAATTCCCCTGATTAGAAATCAAGCCCCGGGTTGCTACACTTCTTTGAAATAACGAACAAAACGAAACACGTAAAAGTAGCTGTGATTCGTCCATATTAGAAACTTGGCAGGAGTAAAATTCTTCCATGAAAGCAGTATGTGCATCTAACATACCTCGCTGCCCGCTATGGAACTTTTAAATGGGAACAGCAAACCGCAAAGGCCCAATTTCTATGGCTCAAACCGAGTAAGGAAACAGGATGTCAGCCATTTTGCCAGCAGATGAATCACCAGAGAGCAGCATGTTCCAAGTTATCCCCCAGGCTAGAAAAGGCCGGGCTCCCCGGTGACTCACCAGGCTTCTGAGTGAACCAGCTTCTCCCACTGATTAGGACTTGGGGCCTTCTGCTATCCCAGCTGATCTCTCAAGTGTGTGTGGAAGTTAACAGAAAACACGTAACACACTTCTAAAGCAGGTACAACCTTACAAAACATCTACTCACCCTCCGACTTAGACCCCGGGTCTCACACACCCTTATTGATCAAGCTGTCAATAGACCACAGTTCCATGGTGATATATGCACACAGTCAAAAACACTTCCTGTATTGACCATATGCCGGAATGTGCAGGAGGGACACATGCATAGTCATTAGATTTACTGTCTAAGTGTTTAACCAGCTTACTTTGAATACCAGCGGGGCCACCATCAGATGACCCATGCAGTATGCAGCTGTCAGGACCACATTACATATCAGTGAGATGTCCTGCTTGGCTCAGCTGATGGTGCCTGATGACTGTGTTGAGGGTTGGAATCCAGCCTGAGACCTCAGTCAGTGATCATTTACTTTGTCTTTTGAAAGCAGATACAGTAAACCACAAAATGATTAACAGATGCCAAATAATGACGGCCAAACGTAATCTAAACGAAGTGGATGTTATTAGAGCTGAAACTTGTATTTCATTAATTGAAAAATAATCGGCAACCTTTTTGATAATCAACTAATAATTCTTCATGCAAACACACGTTGCCTTGTTTCAGATTGTTAGTTGTGAGGATCTGATGACTTTGTTTTTCTTATTTGATACTAAACTGAACATCTTTAGATGTTAAAGTGTTGGTCGGACAAAACAAGCAATTTCATGGCCAAATGATTAATTCATTGATCTTAAAAAAATAATCTGATAATGAAAACCACCGCTATCTGCAGTCCTAATTGTTATTATTATCTCCCTCCTTGTGTATTTTGTCGTAAAGTTTCTTTTTGTCAGGTTCAGTTGTCTTTGCCTTCCATCTATCTTGCTTTTCGATGGTGGTTTATTGTCTCTTTTGGGCTTTGAGTGAGAGAATTGGTGTCTAATCAATCGATTCATCCGCGTACAAATCATGTGAAGGATATTAAACTTGGCTCTTAGGGTCTGTGGATCTGCGAAGTGAATCCTAAACTTCTCTATCCTCTCTTTCTCAATCGCACATTACCAAATTGTTATTTACACTACCTCAAATTAAGTCAGTTCAAGTCAGGGCATAATTAATAGCATTGTTCTGCTCTTATATGTAAATGTGTGTGTTGTGACTGAACCAAATTTACAGGATGAGGTCCGAGTAGCAACTTGAAGCGTGACGCACCAGCAGGATTTACTGAGCCGAGATATGAGAGAACCTGTCTATACACCTCTAAATGCCTTTCTTACTCCTCCCTTTCTCTTGACTGTCTTCTTTCTCTTACTCTTTTTGTATTTTCCATATCCTGTTGTTTTTCTTTATGTAGAGTTTTCTCACAAGCCAGATTGAGTTTTAGTTTATCATCTGTGCTATCACGAGCAGGATACTTCTTTGCTGAATACGACTGACGTTACATTAAATGGGTAATTAAGCAGAGTTGATGATGATGCATTGGGGTCAGATATTTAGTCTGAGGAAGTTACAAACAATGTCTTGGTATTGCTCTTTATTCATATTATTATTATTATTATTATTGTGCAAGGTCATCCAGTTAAATATTACATGACATGAGTTGTCAAGTTATTTCTAGTTTAGTACCACGCCTATTTTGTAATTGTATAATAATAATGGCAATAATAAATAAAAAACCATCAATCGCAATGCAATTATAATTGATTTATAAATAAATCTGCACCAGTCAACTGCATTCATTTGCCTTGTAAACTTAGAAACGTGCCCTTTGGCTGAGAAAAAAAGTTTGTGGAGATCTGTCACTGTTGACGTCTGTCGGGAATATAACTATGACGTATTGTGTGCCGGTAAAGGTGTGTTAATGCGAAAAAAAGTGTACTTGTTAAACTTACTGCACAAGCTCTTGACTCAGCAATAGACTCTTTGTGTAACAGGTTATAGTTAATCTGTCTTCCTGTGTATCTTGACACAAAGTGTTCTTCCTCTCACCACCCTGAGTATTTGGTTGAATTATGAGAATTGTATATCACTGATGTAGCGGTGCTGTGTTGTCTAGTCTACAGAAGCAATGTGACTGAATCCCTGAATATATTTTTGTGTACCAGTTTGCTCTGAGATTCTTAAAAACCTGTAATGTTATAGCATTGTGTCAGCTTTTTTTATTTACCAACATGATCTGTCCATCACTGACCTTTTCTTTTTCTGCCTTTTCTGCACAGGTACAAATTCCTCCTCCCTTACCTCTCCTCATCCGAGCCCTGACCTTTGACCCCACCCCTCTCTCCAACCATGGCACACCGATCTCAGAGTTCGTCTGTTGGTGATAACCCCCACGACCCAAACTACCTTCCCCCTCATTACCGTGAGGAGTACCGGCTAGCTATTGATGCTCTGATAGAAAATGACATTCAGGTAAAACTGCAGTTTTGCACTTGTAACTGTTTTTACATGTGTATCACATAAATATTTATTTTAAAAGACGTATTGGTTTAATGAATCTGGGTGTGTCTCCTGTCACACTAGGGTTACTGCGAGTTCCTCCAGTCTGCAGATGTGGTCGGCTTCCTGTCACAGGCGGAAATTGAATTTATCAAGTCCACAATCCAGACGCCCAACCAGACCTCTAATGTCCCAGAGCTGACATACCACAAGGGAGGTCAAGAGGCCGATGGCTCTTCCGATACCTATTGGCCGATGCATTCTGACCTGGATGCCCCGGGGCTGGACCTGGGCTGGCCGCTGCCGCAGCAAAGCTTCATGGGGCCCACGGAGGTCACCACTCTAGTCAACCCCTCTGACCCAGACATGCCGAGCATCAAGGAGCAGGCCAGGAGACTCATCAAGAATGCACGCCAAGTAAGTAAAAGGGAGGGTAGACGGGAGTTAAACTTGCATATCCTGTTTACTATGAAAAGCAGCATCTGAAGCTGAGATCAGAGCATTACGCGTAAACACACGTATTCAGCGTACAACAACAAAACTGCTAAGAATGCTTTTGTTTTCGAAGCACATACCATACTTTTTCATGGCTAATCTAAAAGTGGATGGGTGGAAAACATCTATGATGTCATACGTTAACACACCATGAGTATCCTCTTTCTCTGTCTTATCAGTATGTACGGCACAAATCAAACTTTATCTTTCAAAAAAAAAAAAAAAAAGTTGCGCCGGCAGCGATCAATGCATGCGTGGGTAATGCCGTCTCATTCTCAGTTTAATCTTACTTTTTATCTGCTGCTGTCAACTTCGACACACTCCCTTTCAGATGAATCTCTACCTTGCTGGCCTTTGGCTCGATTTAAAATACAATTTACACGAAGTGAACATGAATCAAACCACGTTAGTGTGGCTGTGTTGTTATTTATTTGTCTTTTTGTTAAGTGAAAACATCTCTTTAACTGTGACACAACTTGCATGTGTGACTCTCCTGTGTTCAGGCATAAACGTGTTTCAACATGAACATAGAAGACAGAGTCATTAATCTTTCCATACCGTGTTTATTGTGTACGTGTATTGTATTGCTGATACACTGAGTGCAGTTAAATTCCCATGTAGTGTTGGTTATTTGTTTGAGAGCCAGTTGTTATTGTACATGTATTCATCATGGGGCACGGAAAGAGGTTTGGTGTATTTATTTGACCCAATGCGGTTGAGCGAGGAATGAGGAAGCGATGTCTTCATTGAGGTTTGCACAATATTTGAATTAATTCTTGATTATTTTTTTTACAGTATCTATGGAACGGTGTAAATAACAGTACATAAATTAGTCTTAACATCCTACTAATTATCACATTGTCAGCAGAAACATTTACGCAATCCCATCAAAAGTACCATAAACATGTACATATTGTATACATACCTGTTTTGAAAATATGTAATCGTTTTCATGTTGCAATTTTAAATCACCTATTTAGTTAAAATTGTTATAAAACGGAACTAATAAAGACAATATTATACTGAGCAAACTAGCGTTCTTGTGTTTGCTCTTCTGCTTCAGGTTATCGGTGTGGTGATGGACACGTTCACAGATGTTGACATCTTTGCGGATCTTCTGGACGCAGCAGGACGCCACATTCCGGTTTACATTCTACTGGACGAGCAGGAAGCCCATCACTTTGTTGATATGGTCGTCAACTGCAAAGTCAACCTGGACATGCATCCTGTGAGTTTGCCTTCATGACATTTCCTCAAAAGACTGCTACCAGTTGGCTATCCTTTGGCTTTTATTGTGTTTTTTACTAATTTATAACACGTCATTTCCACTAAGGCTTGCATGTGTCCATAACATGATTGAAATTTGGTTTTACAGATGGTGCGCGTGAGGACTGTGGCAGGAGTAACCTATTATTCACGTACGGGAAAATCCTTTAAAGGGCAGGTGAAGGATCGTTTCCTGATTGCTGACTGCAAAGCGGTACTGAGTGGCAACTACAGGTGAACCATTCAATTGTATCTATTACGTTTTCATTGAATTCTCAAGACTCCCTTGCCATTCACTCAGCAAATGTAAGTACTTTAATTACCTCCACTGTTCTTTCTTTTTTTCTTACAGTTTCATGTGGTCCTTTGAGAAGATCCACCGCTGCATCGCCCACCTCTTCCTCGGGGAGCTAGTTGCCACCTTTGATGAAGAGTTTCGCATTCTCTTTGCTCAGTCAGAGCCTCTAGTCATTGACCCATCCAATGGAGCGCTTGCTCTTTCTGACACAGGCAGCACCAGCAGTTACTTAAGCAGCCAGTTCGGTCTGAATAGGACCCAGTCTTTGTGTTTCCGCAGGCAGCCCGAGCTTCCCGGTGGCTTCCCCTATGGAGACTCTGATCGTAACCTCACACTTCCTTTCCGAAGGACCGATCCGTTTCGTCACACCGTTGAACCTGGGGCAGGAATTACAATTGGAAAATATTCCCAGCAACAGTTTCGTCAGCAGCAGTCGTACCTGGAGCAGGGGAGGTCCATAGTTTCCAGACAAATGGAGCTGAGTAACTCCTCCTTCAAGAGGCACAGCTATGCAGAGGGAACCCAGGAAACCTACTCATCTTCGAGGCAATACATGAGGAATAGAGTCATGAATAATCTGGATGAGACAGATTTTCAAAGGTAGCTAACCCTTTGATATCTACAACTGTTTGGAATCTGAATTATCACATGTATCACAATCTTAATTGAGTACATGTCTTTACACATAACAATACATGTATAATAAAACAACTAAGAACCATAACTCTTTCTTGGCAGGGAGCTGACCCAAAGTAGCCATCACTACAATGAAGGGCCTGGGCCGGGATCTGGCCAAGGACACTACGACGGACTTCGAGGTCGTCCTTCACAACTCTCCATTGACCAGTATTCAGATTCAAGCTATCGCTCAGATCCCGAGCCTCCACCAGGAAACTATGGCCGAGGCTTCTTTTCATCTGAGGACTTGAGAGGACCAGAGAAACACCAGGCACATCCATTAGCTGGGAGGTATGGAGGGGATTCCACCACTAAAAGGCCAACCATAGGTCAGGCGTATGCCTGCCAGAAGTCTCCCACGCAGCTCCACCCACCAGAGAAGAAACAGTTTGTCAAACCATCTGATCAAGAGAATGATGAAGATGAAGGTGCTAAGCAAGGCATGAGGAGTTGGAGAATCCAATCCTATCTCAGCACTTATGAGGACAGTGGAGAAGAAGGCCTGATTCAACCTTTGGGGCCTGATGCGTTTGAAGATCTTCCACCATCTCAGCAGCCAACAGCCACTGAACATTCAGCTCCCCGCTTTGGCACAAAGGAGCCACCAAATGTTCCCCCCAAACCCAGAGCAGTTGCCATAAGACTGCGGTATGGAAAGCCCAGCTTACCTGAGGGCAACAGTAAAGACTCTGACTATAAGCCATATGCACTGGAGAAAAAAGCCAGGGAGGCTGAGATGGAAAGGGAGAGAGGCACAGAGAGGGGGGCAGCAAGGGAGGTGGGTGTAGATATGGAGGTGAAAGAGACTCCAGATCTCTTCCTGTCCAAACATGAATCATTCCGTACACGTATTAACCCACTTCTTCAACGCAGCTCTCGCCTGCGTTCCTCGCTTATATTCTCATCTTCCAAAGCAGAGACACACAGCGGTAGCCTTGGCCTGAAACCAGCAACAGAGAAAGACGAGGAGTTAGACACGGTGCGCACCTCCTCGATTGTGGCCCAGATACTAGAGAAGAGAAGGTCATTGACTCGTGAGCCTTTTGAGTGGAGAAAGAATGCTGAAGAAAAAGAGAAGGAGAAAGAAAGGGATGAAGAAAGGGAGAGGGCGAAAGAGAAAGAGAAGGATGAAGAAAGGGAGAGGGCGAAAGAGAAAGAGAAGGATGAAGAAAGGGAGAGGGCGAAAGAGAAAGAGAAGGATGAAGAAAGGGAGAGGGCGAAAGAGAAAGAGAAGGAGAGAGAGCGACAGCAAGAAGAAAAGGAGATTCGATTGAAAGACGAGATTAAAGCCAAAGAGGAACGGCAGAAAACCAACGAAGAGGTAAAGAAGACACCAAGTGTTCAGAAATCTGACGACACATCATCTTCTATGAACATGAATGACCCAGCCAATAGACTGCAGTATTTCAAAGAGCTGGCTGAGAAGAGAAAAGCCTCAAAGATGGAGACCGAGTCACTGCTAAAAGCCCCAGAGCCTGCTGAAAAAAAGCCAGACCTTTCTGTTAAACCTCCCATAAAACCTGCAATGACTCCAAAGCTCCCAACTGTCTCTGTTAGTTCAGCAGAACCTGAACCAAAGAAGACCGACATCTCTGCAAAACTGGCAGAGCTCACTCGCAGATCTTCCTTTAGTTCCTTGAAACCATCCATAATCTCCGCCAGGCCTTTTACGAGCCACCACCGACCTTCAGAGACAACTCAACCTCATAAAGAGGAAAGTGCGTCTGAGGGTCAAAAGAAGGATATATTCAAGTCTCTAAAGCCTCTCGCTTCACCGAAAATCTTCAGGAGGGATCCGTTCAAGCTCAAAGGACTGAATCCTCGCCGCATCTCCTCTGGCGAAGATATGCTGACCGCAGACGCTACTGATGCAGAAAAGAGTGAACTGAAAAAGAGTCGCTCTCATAGTTCTTCAACTCTGCCGCGTGATGAATCCAGGGAAGGACTGCAAAAATATTTGGGATCTAATACATCCATCAACACACTTGGGGAGAGCAAGGGTGAGGGTAAGACACTTGACTTCTTAAAGAAGCAGACTCAGAGGCTAAAGGGATTCCTGGGGCCCAAGGATAAAGATAAGAAATCTTCCGGAGATGATCGGGTCATGAGCATGGTCAGAGAGATCACGGACGATTCAAGCAAAAAGCCGAGTTCATCGGCTAAAGATAAAGGATCTACCGCGACGGACCACACTACCGCCAATCACAAGACACCGACCAGCACGTTGGGCCCGTCTCGATACCAGGCCGCGGGCAGCTCGGTTATCTTCAGCAGTAACCTACGAGATGACACCAAAGTCATTCTAGAGCAGATCTCCGCCAACAGCCAGAAGAACCGACTGGAGCGAGAAGAAACCGGAGGGGACCGAGACGGTGCCGGCGGGGAGAAGGGGCTGGACAGACAAAACCCCATCAAAAAGAGTCGGTTTCTGCATCCACAGCCCACCGTCCAGGAGCGGGAGGGATTACTGAAGAGGATAGAGAGTCTGAGGAAGGAGAAGAAGGTCTACAGCCGCTTTGAGGTAATATATCACTGCAAGGGTGATGTTTGCAGCGTGGAGGGGAAAGAGATATAGACAGAAGCAAAAGTAGCGTTAGGTGTAAACAACTAAAGCAGTTAGGACATGTATGAGTGGAGTCAGGGGTTTAGATTAAACTTCATGACGAAAACACAGCTGTTTAAAATATAGATCCTGCATTATTTGAGTTAATGAGATGCAGCAGGATACAGTACACTTGTGTGAATTTATAAAGTAAAACATGAAAGAACGATTTCTTTGCAACTCTCAGCCATAGAAACGATCAGATATGTTTAAACTCATGTTTAAGGCTTTACGCAATTTTAGATTTTTAATTCAGGTTTGAAAATAAGTCATTGAAATGTAGATAAGCATTATATATGTTTTAGTGATATTTTTATAGATGGTCTACATCATTTCAGAAGTAATTATTTTGTTTGTATCATCGAAACTAGTTTTTCTTCCCAAACAACTACAACTTAATGTTGACAAATAAATGTTGGTGGACGAGCTAACCTTCATTGCTGTTTCACTAGAAGTCTAGTACAACTATATGATTGTTATTGATTATTATTCTATTTTAAATACCACTGAATTTGGTTGTATATTTACTGGTATACTGGTTAAATATAAGTGACTTAATATTGACAGTAGAGAGGAGTAAAATGAGTTCATACACTTGCATTCAATGTCATCCCTGTTGTTCTGTTGACAGATGGGGAATAACTTGGGATAACGAAAGAAGGAGGAGCCACCTTTTATATGGAAACTATTTATGCAAGATGATCAAAATGACCCATTGCCCATATGTGCCAACAAACGGCGCTATCAAAGTTCCTCTGCGGCTCGACACTGCAGCCTTTCCTGGATTTTCACAAGAAGTAATACAACTTGAAAGACAATATAGGAAAATGCTGAAAACAAACTAAAGTCATTGGGTCTGGAATGTGCCTGAGTGCCAAGACCTGGTACTACCTTGACCTTATATGGTGACTGAGCGAAAGAGCAGTGACTCGACTGCATGGGCTAGTGTTCCACCAAACAGAAAGAGGTAGGGCAATTCAACTTGTACGAACGTGGCTGAGGGAGTTGGAGAGGATAAAAAAAAGATATTACATATTGTACCTGAGGGATAGAAAATAGATCCATGCCAGTTAAAAAACACGAGGTGTAACGCAGCATGTGTACCATGCTATTGATGTGTGTTTCTGCAAGTATTTGTGTTGCTGGTACTTGTTTGAAACCGAATGGGAGAAAGTTGTCCTTGTGGATTCACCGTGTGCCAATGGTCTAACAAGGGCAATTATCAACCCAGAGCAGAAAGCAAAGATGAGAAAATGAAGAGGAATAACATGAGATGAAGGTGGAGAAATATGTGCGATTATAGAGAATGAAAAACACAGTGAAACAAAAGAGTTTCATATAGCGTTCTATCAAGGCATGGAGTCGTGAACCTACTGCTCAGGGTTGAAGATGTCCAATAAGCATCCGGAGAGCGGCCTACAGGCGTCCATGGTTGGAGGAGTGGGGTTGAAAATGTAAGTGTGCTAGCTCTTCTTATGTAATGTAAATAAAAATGTAAAAGCACTTGCAGTTGTCCTGAACACTGTAAAAAAAAAAAAAAAGATTTGACTAAAAAAAAATGTACCCCGGGTTCTTTGTCTTTTCACTTTTAAATGAGTCATCACCGATAAAGGAAAGGACGAGAACAAGGGAGGCTACATTTGAGCGTACTGGAGCAGGGCCATGCCTCCTTGCATAAGTCACTTAACTTGTGAGGCCTACGGCCCACGCAGAGCTGCTGACTCCTTTGTTGGTCTGTAAATACGAGTAAAGCAGAGCTTTAGTTCTAAGGTACGGTTCCCAGGCTGCTTGAGAGCTCGACGGGGCACCAGACTGGAGGATCGATTGTCATACAGACACTTCAGGGGTTACAATGTTTTCTATACGGGATAATAATGTACATATTTATCTAAAAAAAGGGGCTTGTTGATAATTTAAGTAACAAATTAGCTGATGATCATCCTCACTGTACTATCAAAGTGCCGTGTGTTTATTTGAATTAATATGCAAGCATGTGTTCTTGGCTGTAACAACTAATTGGCATTAAGTACGGTGAAATCAGTTGCACAGGGTCAATGTGTTGATGTTGTTTGAACGTCGGATAGTATTAAATTGTATTTGAAATACTGCAAAAATGTCTTTTATTAAATCTTTTTAAAACTGAATTTGAATCTGGCTGTGTGCACATATATACAGTATATTGTAGTGAATGGTTGAACTATTCGTTTATAGGCTCTTTAAGATTCATAAAGTAAACCCATGTACATCACAACAATGTTAAAACCTTTATATTTATAAATATGTGAATAAGTTATTATATGAATACACAATATTTAAGTAAGATGAACATAGGAACATATCCACACAGGATACTAGAAGAACATTTGTGAGGTTTAAGGTTTTCACCGGACAGGAAGTGATCATAGCACATCTAAATGAGGGACCCGCTGATTCTATAAAATACTTCAAAAATACTCAGTTTCACTCCTGAGTCTCTGCAGCTGTTTTCTCCGGCTGCCTCTGTTTCTCCATCTCGTCGAGCTCTTCATTGAGACGGTGCAGCTGAGCCAACTTCATTTGTTCTGTAAGAATTACAGAAGAAGACCAAATCAAAGAGGGGTTGGGAAAAGACAAGAAACACTAAATGTTTTACTGCTTGAGAGGGAACTTACCAGCTGATAACAGCTGACGTTTTGTATTCTCAGCACTTTCTATTTCATCTGAGAGCCTTTCTGGAGTCTAAGTAACAATTTGAAGGTTATCAGTTTAAGAGATAAATATAGATGTGCAAGTTATTTTATATAAAATAAACTTACAAAGACAGAGTGCAGACTCTTATGCTGCTCGATCAGTTGATGAAGTTGGTTCTCAAACTTCATCCTGCAAAAACAAGGCTGACTTTATCAGAAATATATGACTTTTAAAAAGTTTTTTCGTGATACACAATTGCACTTTTAATACGTACCGCTGCTTCCGCTGTTTAAGCTTGAATTCCTGGATTTCACATCTGTACTGTTCCAGCAGTTCCTCGCTTTTCTTGTTCTGCTTCAAATGACTGCAAAAAACACATGATTCATCACTAAGTACAAAATATGAACATATATATATAAAATGTAAACGTTTCCACCAGAGCCTTAATTTCACCTAATCGTACAGAGTGCATAGTAGACCCGGTACAAGGTTCACAAAGTGTTAATCATCACTTCACAGCTATCAGCTTTGGTCTGTGATTACAGCATATTCTTAATTTTACAACATTTGTGTAACACTAGATATCACATGATCCTGTGTCACAGCCATGACATGCTAAGTACGCGGTATATAGTACAATTAGTCACCTCATCAGTCATCATACATGGAAATGTGCTTAACATATAAAAGCATAACATTTACAAAGTGAACAGTTGAGATGAAAAGCAAAGAGTCACACTGGTATTAAACTTCAGCCTAGATGCTACAGCGTCTTCTTTTGGGCTTTTGATGTGTAGAATGAAACATATGTACATTTATTAATTTTAATATCTCAAATCCATCTAGCAGGAAGTGATTCTAGTCAATATATTCCACACTGGAGTCAAATACCTTGTTTGTGTTAAACATACTCGGCCAATAATGCTGATTACAATTTCAACATTGCAGTTTCAAAATTATTTGACAGTACAAATAGAAGGACTGAAGAAAATAATCTAATATGCCAATATGGTAAATCTAAAACACAGGTTTGACACCAGACAATTTCTCAAAGGAAACAATATTCAGGAATCTGATTGTTGCTGCCATCTAGTGTTACAAATGTTGACTCCTCACAGCTGGAGACATTCAATAATATTGTCTATCTGGCTGGTATGGAGCTCACCTGACAGCATCCTGCTCAGACTCCTCACACTGGAACTGCAGCTTCCTGCACAACTCTGGAGACAAACATCACAGCTCGTCAACTTATTATTATAAGTTATTTGTGGATTTACAGCAAATGAGCTATTTGTTTCCAGAAACCTCTGCACGGCACCAATAATCAACTACACATTTGTTTTTGAGTACCTTCTTTTTCTTTATGGATTCCTTCCAGTTTGTAAGCTTCAGTTCGTACTGTCAAAACAACAACAGTGCCTAGTTATAACATACAATAGTGAACATTTGTATCGATACATAACACATAAATGGTTGCCTAGAGGGTACGTATCAAACACAGTTACTGTCTACTTTTAGTAGGTCTTTGGAAACATCTCAGCAACAGGTACAACAAGAGTGATATATGTGGATCAAAAACAATTATCAGGGATCATTTTGTGTCTTACAAGTTGTCAGCTCTTCCTGCAAAAAGTCACTGACTGATATGATCTCCTTAATTTCTTCCTCCAGGTCTCTTTTACCTAAAACAAAACACAGTGTGATTGAGTGTGTTGTAGTTATTATGAAGCTATTGGGTCACTTACTAACATATTACACATAACATTGTATATTCAAATATGATTCAACCATTCAAATACTTCAGAAACACACCTCATGATTCTCTTTGTATCTATATAATTACTAACAATTCTGTTTTAATTGTTCACATAGTAGATCAGAATGGATCTAATAGGGTGTTGCAGTTCCCTATCAGAAGGAGATATTAATCATATCTCATGATCCTCCACTCATCATGATCTGATACTCCATATTTGGAGTAACAGGTAAGGATGTACCTCACTGAAGATGACGTTGAACAGACGTAAGAACGTTTATGGTCAGTATGTACAGCTGTCTTACTCACGGTTTGAAGTTCTAATGGTTGTTCGACTTTTACTTGTTGCATGTAGTTTACCGTCTTTAGCTTAAAATCTGAACGGTATGTGTAACTTATTGCGATGATTGTTATATTTGCTATTATTTCAGTTAAACCTAAAATAGGTCGTGTGCTAATTAGCATACAGCCAGCACATCCAGCCATCTCATTGGTTGACATTCACGAAACTTTCCATCAATCTCAGACCTCTGTGTTGAAAAGTATTCGCATTTTATGATCAGTTTACCTCTATAAGACACGCTACATGCGGTCTAGTGCTCATTTAACGGGTTTTGGTAGTGTAATTCAAGAAACACACAGCGCGATTTACCACCGAAAGCGGAAGTATAGCTCCACAAAGACGAACAAAAATGTCAAGATGATCACGCCACATCCGGTTTTCGCAGAGTTCCACGTTGAAATTCGTACTGGCTTGTTGAGAGCAGCGAATACGTAATACGAACTACAGGACTCAAGCTGATTAGGTGAATAATCAATTAATACGACAGCCAAATTACCTAAACGTGGATTTTCATAAAACCGTACCAAAGCGCCGACATGAGCGCAATTCAACACGAAGACGGAAGGACGTGACAGTGACTTAACTGTACCTTTGTCTTGACCAAAATACGTTACAGTAGGTTGAAAACGTTTTATAAATGTTTCTTAACTCATCTTTTCCGAAAGATGTCACTATTGGGTTTGAACAGACCTAAAACAGTCAACTAACAGCTAACCTTTCTCTGAAGTAAGTCATAAAATGTGCACATAATTAACAAAACGTGACAACCTCAAGTCTGCCAAACACTAACCATGTTGCAGTCTTCTTAATTTGCCCATCAGCTGTTCAACTTTGGGCTCCACGTCTCCACCTGACAGCAGGGCATACAAAAATACTTTATCAGCCTTGTTTTGGGGATTTTCAAGATTAGTTTCATTATTACTTTGTAAAACTTTACCTTCTTTCAGTGGTGTCACATTAATTAAATCCTCAAGGTTGATTCCTGTTAAATAAAAATACATGTTAATGTGAGATAAGTGTCCCACCATGCCCATGAGCAAATGTTAGCTAGCTTAAGTCTAATGTGTATCTTCAGGTGTCACTAATTAGCTAACGTTACACGGTATAAAGTTAACTGTTGAGTGGGTTAAAGTTAAAGCTTTTTCTTTGCAGCTATTTTCAGGTTTTGGCTCAGACTGATATAACGTTAGCTGTCAGCAGTTATTAGCTAACATTGACCTAAAATAGTGGTAATCTTTCTCCTCTGGCTAACATTAATGACTTTTAAAAATGACATGACACTTAATTAACTGTAATATTAGAACGATTAACCAGCTATAAAGGAAGATACTAAACAATAAGCCCCTGTCTTACTATTCTGGATTAATACTATTCATACATTATTTAAAAAGTTAGCTTTAGCTGAATCGTTTATGTTACATAGCCAGCAACAACTGGATGACCGATTCTACCACTTATCTCCATGAATAACGTTATGTTGATGATGTATTGTAGTTATACATTAACCACTAAAGTAACTCGGTTCATTTAAATTCAAGCCGTCTAACCTGCAGGTTCGCTCATATTTACTCAGCCAGCAGAGTCTTGTCCTTAACTATGAAGATGGCGGAAAAATAAAAATAAATTCTCCAGAGTCCTACTTAACGGTACGTGCGCGTGAGGATGGAATACGACGTTCGGCGCCAAAGGTGTGCGCGCTCCACAGTAGCAGACTAACATGTAAAGAAAAGTAAACAGAAGAAAAACAATTACTGCCTGTCTACAAATGTTTCATGAACAATGAAAAATGAATCAGGTCCCAATGGCTACCACATGGTACATTTTATTAGATATAATGCAATTTATATTTTGAATGTCCACATTTACAGTTGGACACTTAATATAGAACTCCTGTAATTATATTTCAGCACAATGGAAATATCAAGCCTACTTCATTTGATTTTTTATATTTCGATCACATTAATCTTTTAAATCAAAATTTGCTCCAAATATGTAACAAGGTATCAACCGTTCAAAAGCCTTAAACTGACCAAGACGTTTGAGGCAGATAACATAATGACAAAATGGCTATTTATCTTTGAACACGTAACAAAAACTCAAACAACACACGGACTTAGTGGAGCATTCTTACTGAAAAAATAGTCTCAGCTCTGTGACATATACAATGGCAAAATGTTAACTTAAAGTATGTCTTTAGGATTTGTACTGCAGCTTCTTCTATGATCAGCTAAATGGACTGATCATTTTACCAGAACAATCCTCAGGTGCGCACGCGCGCGCGCGCACACACACACACACACACACACACACACACACACACACACACACAC